AAAGCTTTTCCAAAGCTATCGGAACTTCGTAAGGCCTTTCTAACGATTAGACGAGGGTATGTTCCAAGTACTCTATGCAACATATGTCAGACCTCATCTAGAATACTGTGTAAAAGCGGTGAATCCATGCTTCAGAAGGGACTCACATATCCTGGAAAGACTACAGAGGTTAGGAAGGCGGAACTAGTCAGTGGTATCTCACACCTTTCTTATGATAAGCGGATGGAGCATTGAAATCTCTCCCCATTATCATACCGAAGGAGGAGAGGCGACTTAATTTCGGCTCACCGTATATTAAAGGGTGATTAAGGGATTGACCTTCCAAACCTTTTCTCTCTCTCTCTCCCTCTAGGATACATTTACGAGGTCACTCACTACAGGAAGCTGCTCAAACCGAGGTCGAATAAAATACGTGTGGAATTTCGATTCTCTCACAGACTGATCAACAACTCGAACTCCTTACCTGATACAGTAGTAACAGTTCCATCGGTGAACGCTTTCAAAGAGAAACAGGATCTCTGCAGATACATATATATATACATATATATCGCGAGGATTAACACAGTCAACAAGAGCCTTCCATCCTCCTCATAACCTGAATCTGTTAGACTTATACCTCAGTGATACAAAACGATGTAAATAAATTAGCCGAATGGGCTAACCTTTGGAGTCTGGAAATCAATTCGAAGAAGAGCGCAGTGATTCGCCTAGGTCAGAAGTCTTAAACGTCTCACTCCCTGGGGGACACAGAACTGACAGGTGTTAGGGGACAAAAGGACTCAGGAACTACTGTAAGCCATGACTTAAAAACAACGGGAAATTCTAATCGAGCCGCAGCTAAAGCTTTTCCAAAGCTATCGGAACTTCGTAAGGCCTTTCTAACGATTAGACGAGGGTATGTTCCAAGTACTCTATGCAACATATGTCAGACCTCATCTAGAATACTGTGTAAAAGCGGTGAATCCATGCTTCAGAAGGGACTCACATATCCTGGAAAGACTACAGAGGTTAGGAAGGCGGAACTAGTCAGTGGTATCTCACACCTTTCTTATGATAAGCGGATGGAGCATTGAAATCTCTCCCCATTATCATACCGAAGGAGGAGAGGCGACTTAATTTCGGCTCACCGTATATTAAAGGGTGATTAAGGGATTGACCTTCCAAACCTTTTCTCTCTCTCTCTCCCTCTAGGATACATTTACGAGGTCACTCACTACAGGAAGCTGCTCAAACCGAGGTCGAATAAAATACGTGTGGAATTTCGATCCTCTCACAGACTGATCAACAACTCGAACTCCTTACCTGATACAGTAGTAACAGTTCCATCGGTGAACGCTTTCAAAGAGAAACAGGATCTCTGCAGATACATATATATATACATATATATCGCGAGGATTAACACAGTCAACAAGAGCCTTCCATCCTCCTCATAACCTGAATCTGTTAGACTTATACCTCAGTGATACAAAACGATGTAAATAAATTAGCCGAATGGGCTAACCTTTGGAGTCTGGAAATCAATTCGAAGAAGAGCGCAGTGATTCGCCTAGGTCAGAAGTCTTAAACGTCTCACTCCCTGGGGGACACAGAACTGACAGGTGTTAGGGGACAAAAGGACTCAGGAACTACTGTAAGCCATGACTTAAAAACAACGGGAAATTCTAATCGAGCCGCAGCTAAAGCTTTTCCAAAGCTATCGGAACTTCGTAAGGCCTTTCTAACGATTAGACGAGGGTATGTTCCAAGTACTCTATGCAACATATGTCAGACCTCATCTAGAATACTGTGTAAAAGCGGTGAATCCATGCTTCAGAAGGGACTCACATATCCTGGAAAGACTACAGAGGTTAGGAAGGCGGAACTAGTCAGTGGTATCTCACACCTTTCTTATGATAAGCGGATGGAGCATTGAAATCTCTCCCCATTATCATACCGAAGGAGGAGAGGCGACTTAATTTCGGCTCACCGTATATTAAAGGGTGATTAAGGGATTGACCTTCCAAACCTTTTCTCTCTCTCTCTCCCTCTAGGATACATTTACGAGGTCACTCACTACAGGAAGCTGCTCAAACCGAGGTCGAATAAAATACGTGTGGAATTTCGATTCTCTCACAGACTGATCAACAACTCGAACTCCTTACCTGATACAGTAGTAACAGTTCCATCGGTGAACGCTTTCAAAGAGAAACAGGATCTCTGCAGATACATATATATATATACATATATATCGCGAGGATTAACACAGTCAACAAGAGCCTTCCATCCTCCTCATAACCTGAATCTGTTGGACTTATATTTCAGTGCTGGTGAGGTTATCATAATAATGAAAAACAGTGTTCATGGTCCTCAGTCACAGAACACGGCGCCTTGGTATCTATTGATCTTATCACGTGAGCGAATGTTTCCTGGCTCGCTCATTTTTGCTTTCGAGAGTTTATTGTGAATTGCTACTTTAACACGTTCTTCTAATATTACTGGAACAGTATCATATCACAAGAGAAGGAACAAAGATTTATTGTGAAGTTGTTTATTAAACAAAAATTAGATCTCAGATGTACATATAATTCAAATTAGTCTTCTGGTAATGTTAGCAGGTTCAAACCGCGTACACGGCACACAAGTTTCTCCGTAAGTCTAAAAAGGTAGAGAAAAGCATTATTAACATGGGTAGCACATGTATGGGTTGAATAAAAAATTTTCCAGATGTCTGCCTGATAAGCATACGTTCAGCAAACACCATGATATGATAAAATTATTCAAAGACAAGTTCCACAATGGTTTCCAAAGCTTGTCCAAAGATTTAATTTAAAAGAAAACAACGGATATAAGAAATATCATCAGTCATTACAGATATTATAATCAGGTTAAGGCTCATACCCACTTTCTTAAAAAATTCTTGTACACCAGATATGTTGGTTCAAAATTTAGGGAGATTTCCGTCCAAATTTGGACAAAGTGGGAAAAGGCGGACTGTTTTCGGTTGTAACATGGGTATAGTTGGAATAAGTGGGCTATTTTAGAAAATGACATGGGCAAAGTAGGAAAATATGAGAAACACGGGAACGGTGGCACGAAGTGTGGGATTTCGTTTTTGCAGTGCAAACATACTTACATCTCAACTGCATGAAGTGAGGCACACTTCAGCCCGAATATTATTTAATCTGGACTCATTCATTGGGCGGTTGGATGAAGACAAAGTCTGACTATTTCATTTCAATCATTATGTCACGTTGTTTATGTGGAGGTTAACTTCTGAAGCCGCGGTTTCAAATCCATCCTCGTGCACTCCTGAACTGGTAAGTTAAGTTTTGGTAGTGCAATGTCTATTTTAAAGTTTATTTAAATGGATACTGAAAGTGAAGTAGTGGGTGATGTGAATTTTTTTAATTTTTTATTTTTGATTACAGCTTGATTCCACACCGTATTTTTGGTACAAGTATGGAATTTTCAGCGTGGATATCGGTAGCCCAAAATTCGCAGGCTGACCATAGATATCAGGTGTGCGTCGGCGTGGGCTCGAACCCCGGACCATGTGCATGGTCTGCGAGAGTGAATTGAATCTCCCTAGACACCTTAGAAGTACTTTATTCCTTTCAATATAGCTTTGTGCTTTAGTCTGGTCTTAAAAAGAGACATGTCACCGATCCACAGTGTATAGAAGAAATAAAAGATTGAAGTTACAGTTGCTTGGTGACTTCGCCAAGAGAATAATTTCCGATTTAAGCGTCGGGGCTGGTGAATGTCTCTTAGATGTAACTCCTTGTAGCGTCGAAAATGTGCATACTGACATGCAAATCACCTAACCAAGGGTTTCTTAGCTTTTTTATTTGATGATTTATAAGGTGTCACTATTTAACAATGGTACACAGCAAGTTTGGCCGATATTGGGTAGACTAGTGAAACCGTTTCTCAGTGATATATTCCTTATTGGAGTTTATGGTGGCTTTCATAAACCGTTCGACTTCATAAAGTCTAACGGCGGTATCAGCTGCTGACATGGAGCATATATATGCACATGGTCAATGATCGGCATATTGGCTTCCATCTTAACAATGTTATCTGCGAAAAGCATCGAAGAACGTAAGAATCGTTTAATACTTGACTGAATAATTAGTGCGCCGAAAAATGACCATTTCTTAAGTGACAACTACCCATCTGACCTGACGGATAACCAGTGCAATGTCCTCCACGACTCAGATTAAGCAGACCTTGATAGTAGTGTACCCGCTTCGAAAAGGAATACCAGGTATGACAGTAGTTTTGGTTTCATGTCGAAGAGTAGTTTACAGATTATTACTATTACACCTGGCCATCCCAGTCAGATGATGTGCCGGGACAATGTGGGCTAGTCGGGTAATTTTGATCTGTAATGAAAGAGAGGAGGAACCAGTTGAATACGCGTCAATGACTATTAAGCGCATTACGGTCCCGTGGATTATATCAATAATTTGTAGCAGCGGACTTTAACATTATATCCAAGTACCCTTTTTATCAATATAACTCATTTTCGTCTCATAATATATTGTTACTCTATCATCTCAGTGACTTGGATTTTTATTCGCATAATTGTAATGTTAATGGGCTCTCCGGACAGTCCCCTACAACTTAATTGGTATCAATTTCTTTGGTTGACTGACAATAATCTTTTGATGAATTCAAAATAGTGGAATTCTATTCAGTACTAGAATTACTCGAATTTTCATGTTTCTGTACAGAATCAAATGCATGAACGCCTCTAAAAATGGATTCTGAAGGACAGATGGGCAAACTATTCAGTGTAATTGCTTGTCCTATGCCTTCAGTGGATAGATTTGTACACTGATGAAGTGGATTATTTATATTGGCTATTTTTGATGATGAATTCACTTGAAATGTGGTCGCGTTATGCTGACTAATGATATCTCGAGTTGAGGAAAAGCTTCTTATGTGATCATTATGAGCAGACAGATAGGTTAGATAATTAATCCAAGTAAAGTATCTATTTTTTGGCCAACCAGGTGATGGAGGCAGTAATATGCCTTTTAATTGAATTCCATTCACCGGCATACCTGCATAAGCATTATACTGGACTGTGTTGGAATTATCTGATATTTTCAATTCCTTCGACTCATTTCCACGGAGATCGTCTAATTCGACCAGAAAATATCGTCGAATTAGACGATCTCCGTGGAAATGAGTCGAAGGAATTGAAAATATCAGATAATTCCAACACAGTCCAGTATAATGCTTATGCAGGTATGCCGGTGAATGGAATTCAATTAAAAGGCATATTACTGCCTCCATCACCTGGTTGGCCAAAAAATAGATACTTTACTTGGATTAATTATCTAACCTATCTGTCTGCTCATAATGATCACATAAGAAGCTTTTCCTCAACTCGAGATATCATTAGTCAGCATAACGCGACCACATTTCAAGTGAATTCATCATCAAAAATAGCCAATATAAATAATCCACTTCATCAGTGTACAAATCTATCCACTGAAGGCATAGGACAAGCAATTACACTGAATAGTTTGCCCATCTGTCCTTCAGAATCCATTTTTAGAGGCGTTCATGCATTTGATTCTGTACAGAAACATGAAAATTCGAGTAATTCTAGTACTGAATAGAATTCCACTATTTTGAATTCATCAAAAGATTATTGTCAGTCAACCAAAGAAATTGATACCAATTAAGTTGTAGGGGACTGTCCGGAGAGCCCATTAACATTACAATTATGCGAATAAAAATCCAAGTCACTGAGATGATAGAGTAACAATATATTATGAGACGAAAATGAGTTATATTGATAAAAAGGGTACTTGGATATAATGTTAAAGTCCGCTGCTACAAATTATTGATATAATCCACGGGACCGTAATGCGCTTAATAGTCATTGACGCGTATTCAACTGGTTCCTCCTCTCTTTCATTACAGATCAAAATTACCCGACTAGCCCACATTGTCCCGGCACATCATCTGACTGGGATGGCCAGGTGTAATAGTAATAATCTGTAAACTACTCTTCGACATGAAACCAAAACTACTGTCATACCTGGTATTCCTTTTCGAAGCGGGTACACTACTATCAAGGTCTGCTTAATCTGAGTCGTGGAGGACATTGCACTGGTTATCCGTCAGGTCAGATGGGTAGTTGTCACTTAAGAAATGGTCATTTTTCGGCGCACTAATTATTCAGTCAAGTATTAAACGATTCTTACGTTCTTCGATGCTTTTCGCAGATAACATTGTTAAGATGGAAGCCAATATGCCGATCATTGACCATGTGCATATATATGCTCCATGTCAGCAGCTGATACCGCCGTTAGACTTTATGAAGTCGAACGGTTTATGAAAGCCACCATAAACTCCAATAAGGAATATATCACTGAGAAACGGTTTCACTAGTCTACCCAATATCGGCCAAACTTGCTGTGTACCATTGTTAAATAGTGACACCTTATAAATCATCAAATAAAAAAGCTAGAAACCCCTTGGTTAGGTGATTTGCATGTCAGTATGCACATTTTCGACGCTACAAGGAGTTACATCTAAGAGACATTCACCAGCCCCGACGCTTAAATCGGAAATTATTCTCTTGGCGAAGTCACCAAGCAACTGTAACTTCAATCTTTTATTTCTTCTATACACTGTGGATCGGTGACATGTCTCTTTTTAAGACCAGACTAAAGCACAAAGCTATATTGAAAGGAATAAAGTACTTCTAAGGTGTCTAGGGAGATTCAATTCACTCTCGCAGACCATGCACATGGTCCGGGGTTCGAGCCCACGCCGACGCACACCTGATATCTATGGTCAGCCTGCGAATTTTGGGCTACCGATATCCACGCTGAAAATTCCATACTTGTACCAAAAATACGGTGTGGAATCAAGCTGTAATCAAAAATAAAAAATTAAAAAAATTCACATCACCCACTACTTCACTTTCAGTATCCATTTAAATAAACTTTAAAATAGACATTGCACTACCAAAACTTAACTTACCAGTTCAGGAGTGCACGAGGATGGATTTGAAACCGCGGCTTCAGAAGTTAACCTCCACATAAACAACGTGACATAATGATTGAAATGAAATAGTCAGACTTTGTCTTCATCCAACCGCCCAATGAATGAGTCCAGATTAAATAATATTCGGGCTGAAGTGTGCCTCACTTCATGCAGTTGAGATGTAAGTATGTTTGCACTGCAAAAACGAAATCCCACACTTCGTGCCACCGTTCCCGTGTTTCTCATATTTTCCTACTTTGCCCATGTCATTTTCTAAAATAGCCCACTTATTCCAACTATACCCATGTTACAACCGAAAACAGTCCGCCTTTTCCCACTTTGTCCAAATTTGGACGGAAATCTCCCTAAATTTTGAACCAACATATCTGGTGTACAAGAATTTTTTAAGAAAGTGGGTATGAGCCTTAACCTGATTATAATATCTGTAATGACTGATGATATTTCTTATATCCGTTGTTTTCTTTTAAATTAAATCTTTGGACAAGCTTTGGAAACCATTGTGGAACTTGTCTTTGAATAATTTTATCATATCATGGTGTTTGCTGAACGTATGCTTATCAGGCAGACATCTGGAAAATTTTTTATTCAACCCATACATGTGCTACCCATGTTAATAATGCTTTTCTCTACCTTTTTAGACTTACGGAGAAACTTGTGTGCCGTGTACGCGGTTTGAACCTGCTAACATTACCAGAAGACTAATTTGAATTATATGTACATCTGAGATCTAATTTTTGTTTAATAAACAACTTCACAATAAATCTTTGTTCCTTCTCTTGTGATATGATACTGTTCCAGTAATATTAGAAGAACGTGTTAAAGTAGCAATTCACAATAAACTCTCGAAAGCAAAAATGAGCGAGCCAGGAAACAGTCGCTCACGTGATAAGATCAATAGATACCAAGGCGCCGTGTTCTGTGACTGAGGACCATGAACACTGTTTTTCATTATTATGATAACCTCACCAGCACTGAGGTATAAGTCTAACAGATTCAGGTTATGAGGATGGAAGGCTCTTGTTGACTGTGTTAATCCTCGCGATATATATATATATATATATATGTATCTGCAGAGATCCTGTTTCTCTTTGAAAGCGTTCACCGATGGAACTGTTACTACTGTATCAGGTAAGGAGTTCGAGTTGTTGATCAGTCTGTGAGAGAATCGAAATTCCACACGTATTTTATTCGACCTCGGTTTGAGCAGCTTCCTGTAGTGAGTGACCTCGTAAATGTATCCTAGAGGGAGAGAGAGAGAGAAAAGGTTTGGAAGTTCAATCCCTTAATCACCCTTTAATATACGGTGAGCCGAAATTAAGTCGCCTCTCCTCCTTCGGTATGATAATGGGGAGAGATTTAAATGCTCCATCCGCTTATCATAAGAAAGGTGTGAGATACCACTGACTAGTTCCGCCTTCCTAACCTCTGTAGTCTTTCCAGGATATGTGCGTCCCTTCTGAAGCATGGATTCACCGCTTTTACACAGTATTCGAGATGAGGTCTGACATATGTTGCATAGAGTACTTGGAACATACCCTCGTCTAATCGTTAGAAAGGCCTTACGAAGTTCCGATAGCTTTGGAAAAGCTTTAGCTGCGGCTCGATTAGAATTTCCCGTTGTTTTTAAGTCATGGCTTACAGTAATTCCTAAGTTGTTTTGTCCCCTAACACCTGTCAGTTCTGTGTCCCCCAGGGAGTGAGACGTTTAAGACTTCTGACCTAGGCGAATCACTGCGCTCTTCTCCGAATTGACTTCCAGACTCCAAAGGTTAGCCCATTCGGCTAATTTATTTACATCGTTTTGTATCACTGAGGTATAAGTCTAACAGATTCAGGTTATGAGGAGGATGGAAGGCTCTTGTTGACTGTGTTAATCCTCGCGATATATATATATATATATATATGTATCTGCAGAGATCCTGTTTCTCTTTGAAAGCGTTCACCGATGGAACTGTTACTACTGTATCAGGTAAGGAGTTCGAGTTGTTGATCAGTCTGTGAGAGAATCGAAATTCCACACGTATTTTATTCGACCTCGGTTTGAGCAGCTTCCTGTAGTGAGTGACCTCGTAAATGTATCCTAGAGGGAGAGAGAGAGAGAAAAGGTTTGAAAGTTCAATCCCTTAATCACCCTTTAATATACGGTGAGCCGAAATTAAGTCGCCTCTCCTCCTTCGGTATGATAATGGGGAGAGATTTAAATGCTCCATCCGCTTATCATAAGAAAGGTGTGAGATACCACTGACTAGTTCCGCCTTCCTAACCTCTGTAGTCTTTCCAGGATATGTGCGTCCCTTCTGAAGCATGGATTCACCGCTTTTACACAGTATTCGAGATGAGGTCTGACATATGTTGCATAGAGTACTTGGAACATACCCTCGTCTAATCGTTAGAAAGGCCTTACGAAGTTCCGATAGCTTTGGAAAAGCTTTAGCTGCGGCTCGATTAGAATTTCCCGTTGTTTTTAAGTCATGGCTTACAGTAATTCCTAAGTTGTTTTGTCCCCTAACACCTGTCAGTTCTGTGTCCCCCAGGGAGTGAGACGTTTAAGACTTCTGACCTAGGCGAATCACTGCGCTCTTCTCCGAATTGACTTCCAGACTCCAAAGGTTAGCCCATTCGGCTAATTTATTTACATCGTTTTGTATCACTGAGGTATAAGTCTAACAGATTCAGGTTATGAGGAGGATGGAAGGCTCTTGTTGACTGTGTTAATCCTCGCGATATATATATATATATATATATGTATCTGCAGAGATCCTGTTTCTCTTTGAAAGCGTTCACCGATGGAACTGTTACTACTGTATCAGGTAAGGAGTTCGAGTTGTTGATCAGTCTGTGAGAGAATCGAAATTCCACACGTATTTTATTCGACCTCGGTTTGAGCAGCTTCCTGTAGTGAGTGACCTCGTAAATGTATCCTAGAGGGAGAGAGAGAGAGAAAAGGTTTGTAAGTTCAATCCCTTAATCACCCTTCAATATACGGTGAGCCGAAATTAAGTCGCCTCTCCTCCTTCGGTATGATAATGGGGAGAGATTTAAATGCTCCATCCGCTTATCATAAGAAAGGTGTGAGATACCACTGACTAGTTCCGCCTTCCTAACCTCTGTAGTCTTTCCAGGATATGTGCGTCCCTTCTGAAGCATGGATTCACCGCTTTTACACAGTATTCGAGATGAGGTCTGACATATGTTGCATAGAGTACTTGGAACATACCCTCGTCTAATCGTTAGAAAGGCCTTACGAAGTTCCGATAGCTTTGGAAAAGCTTTAGCTGCGGCTCGATTAGAATTTCCCGTTGTTTTTAAGTCATGGCTTACAGTAATTCCTAAGTTGTTTTGTCCCCTAACACCTGTCAGTTCTGTGTCCCCCAGGGAGTGAGACGTTTAAGACTTCTGACCTAGGCGAATCACTGCGCTCTTCTCCGAATTGACTTCCAGACTCCAAAGGTTAGCCCATTCGGCTAATTTATTTACATCGTTTTGTATCACTGAGGTATAAGTCTAACAGATTCAGGTTATGAGGATTTTGGAAGGCTCTTGTTGACTGTGTTAATCCTCGCGATATATATATATATATATATATGTATCTGCAGAGATC